TCCTCCTCATCGTCTCATCGTCTCATCGCCTCATCGTCTCATCGTCTCATCATCATCACCAGCATCATCATCATCATCATCATCATCATCATCATCAAAGGCCGCCGCCCGCTCAGGCCTTTCGGAGACTCAGCGGCCTCCAGCCAGAGCCCTCTTCGCCGAGCCCAGAGGCGGAGGGCCACACAAGGCATCCACCCCGTTCTCAGTGCCGCGATGTCTCGAGGCGCGTGCTCCAGCGTGCGGGCACCTCGCGCCTGATGGAGGACACTGAGAAGCAGCTGTGCCACGGTCGCCACAACTACGAGCAGCAGACGACGCTCCCCCCACCCCGTGCAGGAGACGCTACGCGACTACTACAGGATGCACTGGACAGCGTGCTCCAAGAAGCTGTACCCGCCACCTCTCATCACGATCCCGAACAACCAGCCTCACCTCATCGAGATCCACGCCCTCTCGACCAATATCGCGAAGTTCACAAACCCAGACAGCCTCGCGTTCTACGCCATTTTCGTGATGATGGGGAACCCAGCCACGTACCACATGAAGCTCCTGACGGGCCAGCACTCAACGGAGCATTTCAAGCACCTCATGAAGCTAGAGTTCGCCGACTTGAATTACACGATCTACGCGAATCCAGAGGCTCTCTTCCCCCTCGTCTATTTCGCGACTCCGCTCAAGATGAATCTCTGGCAGAACATCGCGAATTTCGACCTGCTTCCGACTCCAGCGCCCCTACGGGCCCCGTGCCCCACGCCCGCCCACAACCACCTAGCGCTCCTGCCAACTCACCACGCCCGCCACGCACCCCGCACGACCCACCCACGGATGGCGATCCCGACACACGACCACCACAGGCTTCGCTCAAGCCGATCACCATCTTGGGTTGGAACCCCTTCTCGCTCAAGGGCGAACCAGGCCGACTCGACCTCATCTCCGACACGTGCCGCAGCTACCAGGCCATACTCTGTGTCGGCACTAAGATACGACAACGCACTCCCGACACACCTCACCACGTGGACGAATCCCTGCATCATCACTGGGTCCACTTCGGATGGGGCCGCGGCACCCACACTAACAGCTCTGCGGGCTGCAGCATAGCTCTTGCCAAGCGCCACTTCCGACGCAGCGACATTGTTAAGATCCTCCACCCACCGACACCCGACCTCCGCGGACGAGCTGGAGCAGTTGAAGTACACAGAGGACCACTACGCCTGCGCTTCGTCACTGCCTACTTCCCACCACGCCCCAACGGACCTGGACAACATCGAGCTTGGCGCCATGGATGTCAACGACTCTGGTCCTGGGTGCTCACCGCCGTGCACGACGTCCCGTCCCGTGTCACGCCGATCCTCTTCACGGACCTCAACCAGGGACTGGGCCGCCGAGCGCGGCAGCCTTTTACAGACACTTCCATCGGCCCACACCAGGGAGGCGACGAGACGGAGTTCGGCAGGTACGTCCACGACCAGATGCTCCGCTACGAACTCACGGCCTACAACACGCACGCGGACGTCGGCTACACGCACTATGGGCCCAAACGATCCCGCTCGCGCATCGACTACTTCATTGGCCCCGACAACGTCACCGAAATCATCAAGTATATCCGCCTCAACTGGAAGATCCACAGTATCCTACGGTGCCTCCACCACGTCCCCGACCACATCCCAATGGCCATGCAGCTCAAGGTCCCTGTCAGCAGCGGCTCTCCACTCCAGCACCACATACCTTGGGACTGGGGCCTCCTCGCAGCGGGGCTTCAAGTTGGACACCAGCGTGCCACCTTCATTCAGGACGTCGCCACCACCATCGAGTCCCACCGCGAAGCCTTTCGTGTCATAAAAATGGACCAATTCCCTACCAGACACAACGCATTGCTGGCCCACATCATCCGCGAGTGCAGCCGCAAGTACTACACCAAGGAGGGCCAACAACCACACTGGTACCAGCAGGCACGCCAAGACCGCTTGGACCTCCTCAAGCGCCGAGCACACTACAGAGCGCGACGCCTCCCCTTCAACAGCACCGTCCTACGCGACATTCAACATCAATTACGAGCCCATCAACGATGGATGGATTACTGGTGGAAGGCGAGTCTGGACCAGGACATACGAGACGCATGGGCATCACGTGACCTCTCTCGCGTGGCTCACCTCACCTATTTACGCGCGGGCCGCCGCACTGGACCACGACGACGCTCATACCTTGCGCTGCCGTCTACGCGCCCCACAGCCGCTGAGTACACCGCCGCCCTTGGCGAAATGGCTATCAACGGAGGCATGACGGCTATCCCCGCCTACGTCAGCATGCACATCGACGACCCCACCACCATCCCGCGCATGCTCGAGCGCGCCAACGACTTGGCACCGGTGGGGGAGTTTACTGGTGCACCCGACACTGCCGACGTCGAGGCCGCCGCCGAGGAGCTAGAGCACATCCAGAAGCGTCTGTGGCGAGAGAAGCGCCGCAGATACAACCCGCCCTGGGCATGGCCACTCGAGATCACCATCATGCTACTCAACCCGCAGTACTTGACTCGACCAGGCCTCCAGCAAGTAGGACTGGGGCACACCGACGCCGACTACCAACACGCCGACCCACTCGCCCACCACATCAGCCACCCGAGTAAGCGCAGACTCCAGCTCGACCACGCCCACTGCGACACCATCATCCAGACCTTCGTCAACCTACTTGCCCAAGTCCATCGATGTGGATCCCTACCAGCTCAAGCCGTGACCAGTCATGCAGTTGCGATCGGCAAGAAAGGCAAGAGCCCCACTGGCAACGCCATCACCGACATCCACACCAGCGTTCGTTTGCTTCATTGTTTTGATCATTTTTGGCGTCTCTATCTCCGTGTCGGATTAGTCCAATATGGTGCGCCCTACGCACCACCATCATGGGCCTACGGCGGCATCTACTCTCGCCGACGTGAGTCTCTCATGTTGATTGCCAAGTTGCTGATTTGGAAGTTACGCGCCGCCCGCCTTTCCTTCATTGCGAAGTCTTATGATATGAGGAACGCCTTCGCCACGGGCGACCACCAGAGGCTCCTCGCCGCTCACGCTGTTCGGTGCACGGACGAGCATTTTCATCCCCTCCTTGAGCAGCACCGAGCCGAAGCGGTAGTTTACCTCCAGGCATCCGACACTAGCCTTGCCCTTCGGCCAGGAACAGGAGGAAGGATGGGAGATTCGAATGAACCAGAGCTTTTCATGGAAAGTTTTTATCCTTTGGTGTCCAGGTGGAATGAGGAGATGGCCGAGGTTCAAGGAAACCCGTTTCAAGTTGTCTGCCCTTTTACTTCTGTGCAGTTCGATGCGAACCTGGGCGCGTTCATAGATGACCTCTTTAAGATTCTGCTGGTGCCCGACGGCACCGCGCTCCAGGCCCTTCAGCTAGATAAGATCGACAACAATTCGCTCTCGGAGGCCCTGAACTTAGGCGGGTACGCTCAGAATATAGGTAAGCAGGACACCCTCGTATCTCTTGGAACTCATGGGGCCACCAAAGACGCAGAACGTCACATATCTGGGAATGCTGTTCAGGATCTTATCCATCTTGGGGGATATGTCCACGTCTCAAACAACAACAGACGTGAACTCGAAGCTAGGCTCCAGTCGTCCAATGTTGGATGGACGCGTTTGGGTAACTATTGGTTCTCAGGAGGTCCTTGGAAGGCAAAGCGACTTTCTTTCCTCTCGAACGTTGCGGGACGTCTCTGGTCGGGCCTGGAGAGCTATGCACTTCGTCCTCGGGAATTTCATCGTCTAGATAGTTCGCTCGCACGCAAACTTAGAGCTATGATGCAAGGCAAGGCACACACCGTCGATGACCAGAACACCCACCACTCCCTCACCACTCAGCAGGTGTTTAAGGAGTGGCAGATTGCACCGTCGGCCATCGAACTTCTCGTGCGCAGGCTCAGCTGGTGGCAGAGTATCATCCGCGACCCGACCCACCATGGCCAGTTTCTCGCTCTCTTTTTTGGACGATGTCGGTTCGAGCAGCAGGCGGCCACAAGCAACCGCCCTGTCAGTGCGGCCACCCTCAGTGAGCAGGGTATCATCGCTGGCGGCTCGAGCATTCACCCGTGGGCACAGCAGCTCGCGGACGATCTTCTTTGTTTGGCTACACACCCAATAGGCGAGAGCTTTCAGGAGGTGTGGCAGCCGACCGTGGTCAAAACATTGTGGGAAGACGAACACGTTCGAGAGACCTTTCTGTATTGCGACGTTCGAGCACTACGGGCCTCCTACTGGACCTCCCAATGGGCCCCCCCAGGACACATCATCCTCAACGACTCCCTCCCCTCCGCGAATGCGCTCGCCGAGACCGACAGCGATGACGAAATCAACAAACCGTTCGAGTGCACGATCGAGCATTGTGGTAAGCGCTTCAACACGTTGAAACAGCTCGTCACGCATCAAACTAAATCGAGAGGAGTGGGACATGGTATGCCGTCTATCTTAACTACATTACAGGTGGATAACAGATGCCTCGTATGCAGCACAACATTCCCCAACAGAGACCATGCAGTACGACACTTAAGGCGGGCCTGGCATGCGGGCCGATGCATACCTGAACTTACTCACCATGTTTATCCCTGGGTTCCAGCCACATGTACTACATGCACCACATGCCCTCTTCGTGAATATGATCTAGATCCCGCATGTCATCATGAATACCAGGCCCCCGAACAGCTACGGAGACACCTTCTCTCTCACCTCCCGCCGTCGCCATCGGGTTCCTTGCTCAAACCAGTTTTCAGGACGGAGCTCCGCTCGACTAGATCGAGCCCAGTGTTCCGAGTTTCCCGCCATCCACAGCACCCGCGGCCGCGAGTGATCGAGGACACCGCTGGTGTACGGGCAGGGCTGCGTCGATCAGCCGACCTTATCCTGAGGCCAAGGCACCCGCTCGACGTACGCCGACAGCTCCGCAGGGCCTCCCGACGTACAGACACGCCAGTGCCCCCAGCTTGTGAGCCCGTGAGCAGCGAGGTCAGAGCTTCGACGCCTACACTCCCGCCGCTTCCTGAACAGCATGACGGCAGCCGCAGCCACCAGCGAGGAACGAGCAGCAGGCGCGGCGACGGCGCCGCCCGCGGGGAAGGGCCCTCCGCCGACGCCAGCCAAGGCGTCTCGGGCGCCCTGGCGTATCCCCCTGGACTCCTCAGCGGGCTCCAAGGGATCTGGCAGCGCCTCCAAGCCAGGGGAGCCACCGCAGTCCAAGGCGCGCCTGCGATCGCCTCCAGCGCGGCAGCCGCTAGCAGGCCATCGCTCGAAGTCCCCGCGCCCCCCAGCGGCCGCGGACGAGGACGAGGGCGAGGCCGCAGCCGCGGGCGCGCAGGGCCTGCGCAGGAAGCGCAGGGGCGGCCGCAGGGCCAGGCGCGGCGCGCACAACGACAAGGTCTGGAGCAGCAAGGACAAGAACCTTCTGAGTCTCTTGCGATCCACGCTGAAGCTGCTGCTCCAGACCGCCCACAAGACCAGACTCAACAGCAGCATCGGCATCGACACGTACACGATGAGCAGTAAGCACCCCGTCATCGACGGGGTCACGAACGAGCTCGAGGGCTACAAGCAGCTCCTCGATCAGCTTCGCAGGAGCGGAGAAGCCGCCGACAAGGCCAGGCTCAAGGAGATCGGCTCTCCCGCCCCAGCGCTGGGCCTCGCAGCCCTCGAGAGCCTCCAGAAATGCGACATCGGGGGCTCGCTCAAGGCAGAGATCGCCACGTACCTCGAGAAAGTACAGCCGTTGGACCCAGACGCGGAGGTGGAAATCTCCAAGGACGATCTGCAGACCGCCATCAGCTTCATACGGCTCGAGAGTTGTTTCGACACGGACAGCATGAAGCTCATCATCGGGGCCCCAACCTGGGAGGGGCGCCTCATCATTCAGAAGGCGCTGGCCTCAGAGGGATCGGCTCAGCACCACCGCGGAGTGGCGCCAGCAGGATGGCTCGAGGAAGAAGTGGCTCATTGGTTGGAGACTCTCGAGCAGTAGCAATTCGTTTCGTCAGGGGTGAATCCCTGCCTGCGTCCAGGAGCGGTGTGACAGTCCACCATATGTGTGCCGCTCCCCTCACGCCACCAGTTTCTTTAGACACGCCAGCGCCATCTCAAGGCACGCCCTTTTCAGCGCCCATGGCAAGTGCAGCCCAGCCAGTGCTCGTGTCGCCCAGCCTGCCAGCGCAGGTTGCGCCACTTTCAGACTCTGTGCTTTTCCAACGCCCGCGTGCCACTGACGCTTCGCCAGCACCCGTGCCTGTTTCTT